CATGCACATATTATGACTGATATATTTGAAGGTATACATGCACATATTATGACTGATGTATTTGAAGGTATGCATGTATGTTGGTGTTATTCTGGGTTTATGTACTTACATTTTTCAACCGGTCTTCCTGTTTTATAGGCAGTATAATAAGATGTATGCGAAGACTGGAGGAGCTTTTACGGCAAATGTGTCAAGCTTCTAAAGCTATTGGTAACACAGAACTAGAAAACAAATTCGCCGAAGGTACGTGATTCTTTCCTTATTGAATAACGAGCCTTTCTGCTATGCTATACCAGTTAATACACTACACAGTGTCACTAAATTATAGAAAGTCTACAATAGTATATGATTAACAGCCATATCTTTTGTTCCTCATGCAGGTATTATCAAGATCAAGCGAGATATCGTGTTTGCTGCAAGTCTTTACCTCTAGCTGAGTCTTTGCCTCATACAGGTATTATCGAGATCAAGCGAGATATCGTGTTTGCTGCAAGTCTTTACCTCTAGAAAGAAAAGGAATTGAACGGAGTGAGATTGATAAGAAGAAAGACAAGAATCAGTCTAAGAACAAGTAAAGTGTTGTCGTTGTTGGGATACCTGTAGTTAAGATCCACAGGATAGCGAGTAAAATTGCCCATGATTTGACCCTTCATTTAACCAAAATTTGTTGTCTTATGAAAATTCGGCATGACAAAAGAGACCAAAATTTGACCCAACTTTTTCAAAAAAACTGTAAATGCGCATGTTTAGTTTTCCAACAAATGTTGGCTGAATGCGAACATCTTTATAACAATAGAAATGTTGGTGTAATGTTGGGCAAATGCCCGTTTAAGTCAAACTCGATCCAATATTTATCCAACAAAAAAATCACCTTTCAACATTTTTTGTCTCTTTTTTTTTTTTTTTCATTAAAAAAATACAAATACAAATGTAGCAAACCTAAAATGTTTAATAAGATCTATGTATTTTACGTATACTATTATATGATATGTATTTCGTTGCTCCATATTAAGACGTTTTTTCCGATATATCTATAATTCCTTCTATTTTAGTAAGTAAACGCCTCTTAAAAGAACAGCATGTTTTATTGGTTTGACATGTGGAGAAGGGACAGAGATGTTCCAATCATGATATTATTCTAACGAGAATGGCTGTATATATCGTGTTGGGTGTAATAATAGTAGTATTTTATTTGGAAAAGACAACAAAATTAAAATATAGCTTTTCAACCGTTCTTTTTTCGAATAATCAGTGAATGAAGTCTCCTTCGGACGAGGGTTTGATAAAACGACAGTTTCATTCTGGTTTTAATTCATTCACTCCTTTATATTACCTCTCATCAGGCAGTAGCTATTAGCAACACCTGTCTGTTCGAACAGGAGAGCTCTTCATAATGATTGCTTTAGAAACCAACACAGAGAATTAAAATCACAGTTGATTGGTCTTTAAAACAATTAAACAAAGCCTTATCTAACAAAAGAGCTACTTTACTATGGGGCAATCAAAAGAAAGATTCGTAATGGTAAAATCTCATCAATATTATATGCCAGGTAGTGTATTCAGGTGTTATACAGGTTTACTGGCCGGTTTGATAGCCGATCAGTTACATTACACTACATATTTCAATAACGAACTAAAAGAACAATATACAATCATTAGATGAGTTTGAGAATGATATTGTAAATTATCGAGACCAAGGACGTGTTATCTGTTGAAGCTGTAGGCTGGGAATAGATAAATAATTTAGTATGGATATCATGTGAAAACCGTATTCAATGATCGTTTTTTTTTTTATATACAGATTAAAAAAAGCGAACATATTTCAATCTCTGCTTTAACCTTGACTGAAGTTGACATGATAAATGTATATCTGCAAAAAACACCTAAAGACAATACATTTACCATATCTAGTTATATTATCGGCATCTCAGATTTGATTAATAAACACAGCAGGTTTTCATTGGAAACATTTTCCTTTTACTTCTTTTTCTTTCCCTTATTTCAACTTGCCAAAATTTGTCGAACTTGCTACCATTTTCTGGGCAATTTCTGTTTCATATCTTTGGCCAACTACATGCCATAACTACGAGTCTGAATAAACAAGAGTAAGTTATTGGGTTTTTGAATGCTCGTTTTTTAAATGATTTCACCAAGATAATTGATGTTATATTTAAGATCGGTCTATGGAAAATTTAAAAAACCAACGAATTGAAGTAGTTAAATTAAAGTTGCCCTTCATGTTCAGTATAAGGGGATGAAACATTTTCCCAACACTGCATGTATTCAATCATTTAGTTCAATGTCAACTACTGCTTAACTTTATTTTTAGTTTGATTTTTATTTGGCCGTTTGTAATTGAAGACATTATACATTATCACCCTAAATATTCAAAGCAGGAGTTTCGCCTCACTTCGCTTCTTCGTTCAAATAGAAACATTGTACTTGTGCCATTTTCATTCATGCATGTATATTAAAATTCTTATATTCTTCTGGTTGTCTTTTTTACTACATCTGAACATGTTGGGTGATTGTCATGATGATCTTCCGTTCAAATTAAGAGAAAAACTATTAAGGTCTAAGGGTCATCTAACCCCTCGGGGTGAAATGAACGGTAAAGTGTCCTCGAACGCCAGTCAGGAAACACAAAAAAACATGGCCGTGGACAGCACATACATGTTTATTTCGTACAAATCTTTAAGATTTCAAGCACACATATCATTCATGGTGGATAGTTACCAGTTCCATCCTGTTTATAGTATTTATCACAGGACCACTGTCAAGAACACTTGAATCATGGTCGTTGCCTTTATTTTTACATGTAACTAGTGCTTTGAGTGAACGCCTGTACTGTTTTACTCTCCAACAGTACAACATAGGGTTGATAACTGACGTTATACAAAGAGTAAATTCTGCGAACAGTTCGTATTCTTCAAGCCATTCTGACTCAAGACATTCTTGGCATTTCCATTTCAACAAAACAAGACTTAAATATGGAAGTTGTGAAATAGTTAGAGTAAGAGTTATGAAAATTGCTACGAAACGAAAGTTTCTTTCGATCGTCAAGTTTTTTTGGATCCACCTTGGCGTTTCTTGGTTGCTATTGGCGTAGGCGGCGTTTTCAACTTTTCTTTTTTTCTTCAAAAAGCAATACATAGTGGTGTGAATAATGAACATTGTTATCATGGGAATGACGATGTGAAGGAAAACATCTAGCAAATCGTATTTGGTGTCCTCCATTCCTGCAAACTGAACACCGCTAAATGCAAGTGAATAAACCCAGACAATTGCTACTGCTGCTGAGGTCTTTCTTGCAGTCACAGAACTTCGGTAATAAAGAGAAAACACCAGAGCGACGAGACGATCTGCTGCAAATAGAATGACCAGAAGAGTAGCAGCGTTATCCAGAGCATAATCCAAGACTGTGTAGAAGTTCCAGTCATCTACAAGCCAAGTGCTTCTTCCAAAAGCATATTGATAATTGATCCAAGCAGATATCGAATCAGCCAGAAGACCCTTGAGAAAATCCGTTGCCACCAAAGCGATAATAAGAACAGAAAAGGGTTTTCGAAATGACTTGTTCGGGTTTTTATAAAGTACAACAAGTAGCAATCCATTGGTAACAACACTTAGTACTGCCACCAACGATTGTATAATAGCATAGATAAGGTAATTTACGCCTTTTAACTCAGATGTTGTCCCATTCATCGTAGACTGCTTCCAGACTGACTAAGGGTCGTTTGCCAATTGCCTTCTTTTAATTATATTAGAACGAAAATATCAATAAGGCATTATTTCTAGAGGATTTTCAAGTGGTCGTAAAATGAATGGATGTGATGAAGATAAAAAATAGTAATCTATTCATCTGGTGATAACAGTTAGCTGTGATCTTTAACATCCTTTATTACCCTATTGACAAATGCTTCTCAACCCCCCAAAAACAAATTAAAAATGCAAAACGCGATAAACAGCTGATAAAAGGCGATGATTTTTCCCGGCTAATCCCTTGTTTTCGTCTTCTAGTTTCTGTTTAAGGATTTTTGATGTTTTGCCAGCGCATGAAAGATGTTTGAACTTGGCACTAGAGGGTTCATTGCGACAAATTCACTGTAATGGCGAAAGAATCTTTACAGTCATGCACTCGCGATTAAATCTATATTTTATTCAAATTCACTCAAGACGTATGATATTTAACACGTTTATACACGTTTTTGATATATGAGGAACGGAAAGATATTTCAATAATTATGCCCTCCACTTTACTACTTTAGAATATTTTATATCATACACCACTCTCTCGGCTATGCAGTTTGTTTCATTGGCGGAGAATGTCCCGGTTCTGTTTTTGTTGCACTTTCATTAACTAAATGATTTCTAATGATATTACTAACAGATGTATGGGGGAAAATCTTTGAAAATATTAAGATCTCTATATCTTCGGCAATAACGCTCTTAAGGGACATGAGTTTGAGGAGGACTTTGCCATACCTCGAGGGCTCCTCAGGAAATCGGGCCCTGCAATATCTGTCAAGGGCACAAAGAACCATATCTTGTAATGAGTCAAAGTCTTGAGCGTAGGGACCTTCCGAGGAATCTGTCATGAGATAAAAATAGATCAGTTTAGTCATATTCTCAGTTTCAGCCGTTCTTAGTGTGTGTCACGTGACGAACACTAAGGACGTGTGCGTAGGAGGCTGTTTCATCCTATTTTTCGACATTTTAAGAATTTTGTACTAGAAAATCTATCTCTATGCAGGCCCTGACCCGATCTCAGTACGAATATATGTGCTGGATCGTCACGTGTATATTGGATAATGTGGATTATACTAGTGGATAATAATAGCTGATACTAGCGGGTAGCACTTGTTCACATTTGACCCTCGGGAGTGTATAGGGTATATACAATTTGGTCCAAATAAGCAGGTTAAATTGAGAGATGGAACTAAAACAAAACGTTTCAATCATATGTCGCCAGATTTGTTTCATTAGTAAAGGTTGGCCTGTTGCGGTGATATCTAACAAAACTATGTTATGTGAACATAACTTGTTGTTGTTTTAGACAACTGTTTTCATTCAACGGTAACAATTTTTAGTAAGTAAATGCATTTGTTAGTATAAAAAAGTGACTAAAGAATAAAGGTTTACCTAGTGAGAACAGTAGTATGGTCTTTAGGCAGGCGTATTCAGCTTCTTCCAGGTTTCTTAGTTTCCAAATACTTTCGCGAAAACTCACTAAGCTTCTGTTGAGCTGCATTTTTCTCTCATTACATAATGCCGGGTTAGCTTCAACTTCATAGGCCAATGAAATGGTTTCCACTTGAAGCTTGTATTGGGCAGCACTGATCATCAACATCTCACTCCATCTAGATCGAAGTATTGTGTATTGCTCACAAACATCAAGATTTACGAACATCGGTACCTGTCGAGCCCAGTCTAACGTAGACATGAATACTGAACAGATCTGGTGGTAAAAGTTTGGTGGCCCATGTAGAAGTGGACTGGAGGAAGAGGAGGCAGAGAACGTTGTAAGAGGAGGGCGTATGCTTCTTTCCAGCTGAGTTAGGACAGCAATCAGATCGTACTGGGTTGTGAAGGATTTGGACGAGCGAGAAATGTAAGAGTACTTCGTGGGTCTTCCTCTTCGAATTGCTGTCGAAAGATAACATGAAATTAAAATTAAAAACAACTGGTTAGCACTTGAACAAAAATAATCCAGCTAAACTACCACAAATAAGTAGCTGAGATTGGAGTAGGGAGATTGAAAAGAAACGAGAAAAAGAAAATTGTAACGAGGAAACGAAAAGGAAAAGTATGAATAGGAGAAAACAGAAGTTCGCTGTGGGTCAACATATAAAAGGATTTTAAGACTTGTAGTGAAAAATGTTTTTATTTCGTTATTTCTCGTCTTGAAAAACCCTAATATGCCTAGGCCCTTAATTACCTTCTCTCCTCATTCCAACACTGACGCACTTCTTGAAACGACAGGCTTGACATTGTGTACGATTTAGTTTATCAACACGACAGTTGGAGGAAGACTCGCAAGTATATGTGAGCTTATAACGAACTGTTCTGTTGAAAAAGCATTTGCAACCTTCGCACGTAAAAACACCGTAATGTCTGCCCGAGGAAGGAGCGCTACACACTGCACAATCTATAGTCTTGTCAGGATTATCATACCAGTATACTTCGTGCATTTGAGACCAAGAAGACATTATATTTCAACAGATCTGGCGGTTGGTCAGCAAACTAGTTTTGTCACTGGAATAAAGATCGTGTTACCTTCACCTCCACTGACCGATCCAAATGCCCTAATCTAGCGAGGCAAAAGAGGTGTCTTGGTATTTATGACCCCTGAAGCCCTTTGTAGATCTCCCATTAATATTTCATATCTTAGTGAAGTGTATTAAGTAAGGCCCAATTAACACTGCGACAGCTAGTTATGTAAACCACCAGCTTAGTAGACATTTTTCAAGTGAACTTTGAAAGGTATTTACTTGTATACTTGGTATTATAGTTCGGCTAGTTGTGTTTTTATTTTTGGTCGTGTGGTAAAGTAGTTAACGTGAGAATATCCCTGTAAATACTTATCATATCTAAGGGCATAGTCTTTTCGTCTTGTTTCAATCAGTTCAGTACTCAAACAAGTTTTGATGGTTGGAAAGTTCTCGATTGTCATTCTTTTCTCTCGGTTACGCCTTAGCACTTGTTTGTGTGTACCGCTTTGCTAATGCTAGGATTTGCCATCCATTGTTCTTGCCACGCGTACTTTAATGTATTGCAGTTATTTCGCATTTACTGGAACACAAAGCGAATCCTGCTAGCTATGGCTGCAGGGGATCACTGCGGGTACTAAATCAGCAAGAGACTCATTCAAAGAAACTTTGAGCAAAACAACGTAAATGCAGGGAGTAAAAAATGACCAAAAGAGAAAAGCATGATAAAACGTCAAACAAAGAGAACAAAAGGTAATATTGAAATTCGAAACGTTCATTCATCCCGTAGATATTTTGAGTGCCTAAAGATCGAAGTGAATGAGTCTCATTTGTATATTTTTACGACATTCACTATTACCTCTAACATGACATAAGCCAATAAGGAATGTTGTACAGTTTTGAATACCTTCATTAGCATAACAACAGCATAACAATAAGGCTAACAACTTAGACTTCTGTTGATTGTAAATATTAGTTTTGATGAATTAGTGCTGAGACTGATGGAATAATGAGGAAAAGCTTGGCGCTACTATCCGTTAAGAACTCAAATTTAGATTGTCTCACGTCTATGGATACGCGCCTGATTACATGCGCTGAAGTGTGCTACGTGACCAGAATACTCTTTACTTGCTTCTCAATACTCTAACCATAGTTAATGGTGCGGAATGGTTTGTTCATAGTATTAGGTAATATAGAAGTTTGTTTTCCCCTGTAGAAAAACGTTCTAAAATGAATTATGATCATTATTCGTTAATTAATCCTATATGATTAAGATTGTTTATTGAAAATGAAATCGCCCTTTTTCATGCTTATTGATCATTTAGCAACTTAACTGTATCTGCGCGGAAATATTTATCAGCTTAGTTTGTGGTCATCGAATGAAAGTTTTCACTTTCAAAATGTTTAAAAATAAAATCAGTATTTTTAGCCATACTTGCTTTGGTTCATCGTGCACCCTCAGTATCACGTGATGGTACATTTCAACATTGCTCGCAAACAATAGCTTTTTTCTATGGAATTTTGAAAACATTCCGCTCCATTATCCAAGCTCTAAGACCACTGTTTCTTTTTGTCCTACGTCCAAAAGATCTATCAGTAACGCTTTTTTACTGCAGTGGCAAAAAGTAATAAAATAAAAGAGGCATCGTTAATCTGATACTACCAGCTGCTGTTTTTGGACAGGCCAAGGTTTGATGGATGTATGATCGTGTAAGCAGCAGATAGGGGGACTCGCGATTACTGTTCGGAATACGCCGGGGATTACCTGCCCCCACGTAACGGGGGCCCCCTCGGGAATTATTCGAGCCAACTCTACGGACTTTTAGGCAAATATCCGATTTGTCCACTTTACCCGTACCCAACCCGTAGGCAGATATTTTTGTACCGCAAACGGAGGTTAAAATATTCCTTAGATATAGATGGACACCATCAAAAGCATTCAAAACAAGACTGTGCGCAAGCTCAGAACCCGCGCGTTGGACAACTTGGACGCCGACTTTGCCTTCACGACATTTATGGAGGGAAATAGAGATGAAACTATGAACGAGGAAAGAGCAGAAAGGATAATCGGCTTGATGCCTGAAGGCGACTACCGTTTGGAGTTGACATTCATAAAGTACTTAGACGGCGAGTGGATAATAGAAAGGGGGCGTAATCCAATACGGGCGTCGGGTAGAAAGGACCTGTTCGTTTTAAACAAGGACACGCGTCCCGGAGCACTGGTAGGAATAGACATGCTGTTTTACGAGGTTGCCTACCCGGTTACCGTAGTCATTTACGGTGCGTACGAGATGAAGACGCCAGATGTTAAAAAGTTAAAACCAATGCGGCACCCCGGTAACTGCGTGGGTAAGTTGGTGAGGGAGTTCTTTGAGGATTCCTCTCGTGGTGGTAAGCTTACGTTGAAAAGAAGAGAAGCCATCAAGAAGTGGGAAGATGCCACTCGTAAGGCTGGAGGAACGATAGACAACATCAAGAAGTTGGAAACTGCCTTAGAAAGGCGAATCCACGTGAAAGACATTACAGACGGCTTCATTTATTCCGGAACGCATAAGTACGGCGGCCGTGGTGCGCCTATCGTAATTTACCAACATAACGGGCATGCGTGGCGAGAACTTAGGTTCCCACGAAAGAAAGAAACCAAGGTCTACAAGGAGTCGCCACTTGCAGACTTAATCCACGAGAATTCTATTTGGCTAATGGATTCGGAAGGAAGTCAGTTTATGACGCAAGACGGTACTCTTTACCGCCCCGAAGTTGAACATCAGCGCATTCAAAGCGCGTGTGAGACCCTGGGAGAAGACTTTTCAGACGAAGTGCTTAGCTCCCGTAGCTTGGACTTCCTGGCTGCCAAGAAGAGAAACGGCTGGAAACCCACGCCGAAAGAGTTCGGAGACATAGCTAAAGCGTGCGTAGAACACGGCCACGGAGGCCTATGGAACATGGAATACGACGAAGACGAATACGTGTCGCTGGATATGAAGCACTGCTACCCCGCCAGTTTCAAAGGCCTTGGTGACTGTAAGGAATACTATGACCGCTACGGACATCCAGACTCGCAGTTCTTCCGCGTTGCGTTGGATGGTTGCTACGATGCGCCAGCAACGGGATTCGTCAGGTTAACCAGCTGGAAGCTCGCAAAAGACTTGCATCCGATAATCTACGCGTGGTATGGAAAGCACTTACAGGAAAAGGAATGGATACCCGTACCTTTACTGAAGTTTTTCGAAGAGCGCAAGCTGCTTACCTACACGGCGCATGAAGCCATACTTTGCCACAGCGCCTTTACCAAATGGCTGCCGGAGCACAACCCAACCGCCAGAATCGTCATAGGAAAGTTCACCCAAGGCGCAAAAGAAGGCGAGAAACATATGCAGCGGCGTTTGATAACGGACGACGGCGAACTAAGTTTCCTCATAAAGCGCGCCCATGACCAAGGAACGATGGTGTCCGTGGAGAAGTGGGACTATTTCATAGAAGCCGAGCAAAAAGAACGCAAATGGAATGCTTTGTGTTACTACCAAGATCATCGACCGCAGTATTACCATCTGCGTGCCAGCATGCTTGCCTACGCGCACATCAACCTTCTCGCGATGCTCCTGCGGTTTGACAAAGAAGATATCCCCCGCGTAGCCACGGATTCCTT